AACCAAATTCGTAACGACTTCCATTATTACTTCCATTATAACCCCATGTATCTCATCAATTGCATAATCGTTTTTTGTTTGAACACGAAAAACTACAAAAACACGCACTTGTTCAATTTCACAGAATACAAGCCCGGTCACGTGCTTCGACTCTCTATTCTGATTTCGCTGGCGCTTGCAGCGGTTATTCGCGAGTCTCATGTACTAACTCTGGTACCAAAACATTTCAGACATCTTCGGAATCTGTCATTAATAATAATAAGCTTTATTCCCAACTTTTTGGTGGCATACCGTCTGGCATGATCGTAGTTTTACAGTCAGAATGGAGCATGACTGGGGGATTTGTGGGGGGGGGGCGGATTGCACAAAAGGGGGACAATGTAATGAACAGTGGGGAATACCCTATGGTATAGTAATAATAGGTTATTTCCCAACTTGCTGGGAAAAATGGGCATGAGGTTCGACTAGATCAAAGACTGTCGGGTGGCACGAACTAAAACTGATAATCACTGCTGGCCATGAATGACCTTGTGTGGTTAGATAAATGGCCAGGAGTCAACGAGCAAAAGTGGAGATGGAGATGGGATAATTCAAATTGGGAGCGCATTGTAGGTATTGTTTCAAAATGTGGTTCAATCTGAAAGTAAGCAGACTCACTGTTTGCACTGTTTTAGGGAAGTCAGGTGCAGAGGGATGGGTTGGATCCACGACGGGCCGTCGTTTGCCGTTATATTAACATATCACACAGTTGGATCCTCGTTTTTATCGGCGCGCATGGATACTGGCCTGGTGTTTACTATAGATAGCAGACATAAGCGAGAGTGCGCACGGTTGTGGGTATGACGGGCCATTTTTGGCAGTTAAATTAGGACACTGCGCATAGTTGAGGCCTAATGATCTGCACCGCATATAGGCACTGGCCTAGCAGTTCCGCGAAGTAGCCAAGGTAGGCGATAGCGCATACAGTCGTGTGTACGACGACGCGTACAGTTACGAGTGGGACAGATTATGCTGGATTAATCTACCGGTTAATCAATGCCGCACATGGACACGGAACTGGCAGGTACGTTAAGTAGCCAGGTTAGGTGACATGGAGTACAGCATTGCGTATGACAGACCGTCGGATTAGGCTATCACGCATAGCTGAGGTCTTGTTCTTACCGACCCGCATTTATACTGGCTGATGTCTACTATAGGCAGCAAAGATAAGCTGTATCGCGCATGTTTAAGGGTATGAATGACCGTCTCTGGCCATTGGATTATGTTACTGTGCACGGGTGAAGTCTCACAATCAGCGTTGCGTGAAGACGCAGGCCTAGTATTTACAACAAGTATTGAGGTGAGTGACAACGCGTAAGATGCCATTGTTAGTCATTGGATTAGGCTACCGTGCATAAGGTAGGCCCCATATTGGGCGTCGAACATAGAAATGGACCCAGCACTTACAATAAGCAGTCGAGGTGAGTGACAACGGGCACAAC